AAACCCCCCTCCCCCCCTTTAAGAAAACAGAGTAGAAAACCTGAATGGGCAATCAGTGCTGTTCCGCCTGTGCACATTCCGGAATTCAGCACTCTAATAGTGCCATTCATTATAAGCCTTATTAAAATAAACAGACTTTATGATATAATAACAAATAAGCAAGGCCGCACATGCTGTCATAATCGACAGAAATTAAAAGTGCCATGGAACACTATATTACCACTGTAACCTGTCTCTTTCTCTCATTCACACACATGCGCCCACCTACACACACCCACACACACACACACACACACACACACACACACACACACACACACACACACACACTAAAATAAAGTAATCAAGGTTATTTAAATGAGTGTGCAGGCTGCATAAACAGTGCAAACGGTAAAGAACATTACGGGCTATGCATTCCTGATCTCCCAAAGTGGTGAGAAGGGGTGTGCTGGGTGGGTGGTTAGGGTCAATTTACAGACAGTTGTAACCTCAAGTGGTCTTTGTCTTAAACTCCTTGGTCTATGCAATATTCTCATTATATTTTATTTTTTTGATTTGGAACTAGCGTAAAACTTGCTCATAGACAGTATCCAGAAGACAGGGTGTCAGAGGATGTTGGGGGCACGACTGGAGATTTAGTGTGATCTATTTGTGTGTGTGTGTGTGTGTGTGTGTGTGTGTGTAAGGGAAGGGGTTCCTGAGTGCTACCAGCTGACATTCCCATGCAATCCAAAGACTAATTGATTAAAGGGTTATGAACATGTGTGTATAGAGATGCTATTAAGTGTGCATGTCTGCATGGCAAATATATGCCATATGGAGGGGGAATTGCACCTCAATTACTGTGAATGGGGTAAGTGTGCTATGTATCAGCGCTGCCTCTTTTGCTCCCATATGCTTATATCTTTACAGTCAGGCTTAGGGTATTGTAGACTCCGAAACAGACATGCCAGATATGTCAACATACATAATAATAGAGGCCATTGAGTCTTGATGGGAAAAATGTGGGATATGTGGGGTTCTTATTTACCTACTGCAACAAAATTATTCCAAACCCATTGCTACAAAGTATATTACCACCCAGAATATAAAAACATTTTTAAATTTTTTTCTGTGTCTATTAGCAAGCCAGGCATAAAGTCCACTCTTTGTTCTTAGAAGTGTGGGTATGTTGTTAATAACAGGTAAGTAGGTCTAAAGCTCACAAAATAACATGTTATATCTGTTTTATGTGCCAAAAAAACAAACTGTAAAAAAAAAAAAAAGTTGTGCTGTCAGCGTGAGGTTGAAAGGCAACCAGCGGATTCCTGGAGGTCATGGGAAGCCACAAACTGTGGTTCATATTTTACAGAAAACATGAGAGTGGTAAGGATCTTCTCATCTAAGTGTCTAAATTAAGAAATTTCCCAAGATATAAAACCGTTCCTTTAAATGCATATTTCTGACTAACCAAAAAAACAGTTGTCTGCAATGTGCTGAATTGTCTGACTGAAAGTTTGACTATTAAAACAACTAGTCGATTAATTTATTTGGTAATAGAAAAATTTCATTTTGGCAATCGATAACTTGGAATAATTACATCAGTTCATTATTTTTGCGCTCTACAGGTGAAATGTATCAGAGAAATCTATTTTTAATTGAAGCAAATACAAATGTTCTGAAACCAAAATTTCTGTGCTGCGTTCTGAGTATCTGTGTATTTTAGGTTGACACTGTGGATTCATTCAATGCTACGCAGAACTTCTGTGCCAAAGTGAGGATTAGGCCTATTTCATAGGGCTGGGTTTTATTGTAGTGCGAACGTGCATTGGGGGCTGCTGCTGGATGAATCGACGCAACCAAATTGAACTAATTGCACTGTTGCTTGCCCAATGGACCCCGTCTGGGACTCAGGAGAGTAAAGAGCTGAGAGCAGGCGAGTACATTACTGAATCCGACTAATTGCTCACACCTGTGCCTGCCCAGTTGACTCTGCTGAGAATTCTAGGGATCGATAAAGAGCAGAGCATATGGGTGTTATTTATGAATCTATGTGTCTATCCATCTATATATATCTATCTACAGTGTCTATGTTAGGGCTCTCCCCTGATAGTCGAGTAAACTGTTAGTCGACGAGAAGAGTCTTAACCAGTGCACTTTTCATTAGTCAGACTCACATCAGAGCACTAGACACACGATGCATTCAGGTTAATGTTATATATCATCGTATCAATAAGTCCATGAGTATTTGTTTTAGTGAATTTGGTTATTAGTTATTTATTCTGTGTTTTGAACAATGAGACTTCTGTGATGTTGTAAAATGTACTAAATGTTCAGGCTACTTGCTGGTTGTTCTGACATATTCAGGTTCATTACCGCTGTTTCCATTATCATTTAACAGGCAACTGTTAATATGTATGTATAAATATAATACACTTAAATAATTAAGTTAATATAATAAATGTTCAACGATCAGTCACACATTGGCTTTAACTAATAGTCTACTACTAGTCGACTAGGAAAATCTATCTATCTATCCATCCATCCATCCATCCATCCATCCATCCATCCATCCATATTAATGGTCCAGGTTTGTTGGCCCTTGCCTGGGGTGTTTTTAGTCAATCTTGTATAGTGTTGTACTGTCGATACAGTGTGGGGTTCCACTCAGTAACAGAAGGTGCCTTCAGAAGAGTAGGTATTGCTCACTTTGGTTCTGAAAGCTGGCAAATGCAAGTGGCCTGTTTTTTCACCAGCTGAAACACCCAACCCCAACCACCTCTCTCGTCACAAAAAAAAAAAAAAACTCTAAAAGACACGTTGTGACTGCCTAGGTACAGCCAGAAAGAAAGCAGTGACTTTAGACAGCTAGGTTATGAATCAGACTGTTTCCAATTTCAGGACAATTTGCTTTTTGTTACCTGCAGAGCAGAGTACCACATGAAGGACAATATATAAAGGTTACAGTACATAAAAAAAAAAAAAAAATCACAGTGGAGTTGGAGTTTTCCACAACACTTCTTCTAATTTCTGTTATCATTTTGGTATATTGTGCATTATAGTCATTAAATAATTAGGATTAATTAAATGTTTTCACATGTTGAATGTTCTCTTTGCAATTTAAGTGAAGACAATGGAGAGGAGGTGAGGAAAGAAAGGATAGGAGGGAGGGAGGGAGTGTGCTGAGATAGTTGTCTGACCAGAGGCTTCCTGGGCAGAGCAGAGATCATCTCTGAGTCTCACAGCGTGAATTCCACACACTCTTCACCACACAAACAGCATGAATCCTGTGCACGGCATGCATGCACCTTGAGGAACCCACACACCGTGCCTTGGAGAGACACACACACACGCTCACATAGCGTAAGGCATGAACAAAGAATCACACTCCTAGCAAGACCTCAAAGTCTGACCGATGTGGTATCCACAGTGTTCTCATTATAGTCACCAAAGAATTCGTCTTAATCCGGAGGCAAAACAAACAATGCACAAAAATCCTTTTTATCTTTACAACTTTTTCAATTCGGACCAGTAATTTTGAGGATGATGCAGTCCCTTACGGTAACATCAAGTCAGAAAAAACATAAAGCAGCACTCAAAACAAAACTCGACTGTAACCTAAAGATATATAGAAATAATATTCACCTCTACCATGTATTCATCAGAGTGACTGCGACTTTTACTGGGCCGGACACGACGGTTATTGCATTCTGCTTCACTTACTCTGGCTATAATACAAAGAAATGTGCGTACATTTGTACTTACATAACTTTCACTGCATTTACTGTGGGAACTAACATTTTTTCCTCAGCTCAGAATTTATACATCTGCAGGCACAACACATATCCACTCTGTCTGGCCATGTTTTCTTTTGTATAACCGTGTAATTGTGGGCCTTGTCTATAGTTGTTTGTGACCCCACCTTCATTGTTGTTACACCTTCTGCTTGTACCTTGGTAAGGTTAACCCATCTCTCAAGGGGTATGATGTACTGTACCTTATGTGCAAGATATAACAAAGAGAACACCATCTGTATTGGTTTGTAAGGAAGGGAGGTGTGTGTGTGTGTGTGTGTATGTGCACATATATCTGAGCATGAGGGCACAAAGCCATCCCCTTATGGCCCATTGTTTTGGAAGGGTATGACTCTTGCACCCCTCCCATGGATGTTGGGGGAATAGAGCACAGTCTGGCTAATATTTAACTAATGACTGTGCCTTCCAGACTCGACCGCCCTCCTCTCACCAACTGCCAGACCTGAGCCATCTCTGCAGTGAACGTCACTGAAGTGTGGCTGTGTGAAATAGAATGTGGAGGGATGGGGCTCTGCACAGTATCAGGGGAGAGGGGTACGGGAGAAAATAACTGTTGGAGAGCCCATAAAGGAGCTGTGAGTGAGGGAGAGATGGATTCACAGTGTTGTGTGGGAGGCCAACAAGTCCAGCAGTCTGAGAGAATGCCATATGCTACCTTGAGGCAGGCAAAGTCTAGCAAAAGGCGAAGGAGAAGCGGAGTTAGACAAGAGTGGCTGGTTTCCATCAGTACTGATATTATAGGAGTCTGGCCTTCACATTTCTCATCAAGGAGCACACTTATAGATAGAGGCTATGCTACTGACGGAGGGGGAAACGAGAGAAGGGGCTTTGGAAGGCAGAGGAAGGGAGGGATTGGGAGATTGGAAGAAAGAGTAAAAAGGCATAATTAGATGAGGTCTGTGTTCGTCAAGTGGGAGAAAAACAGAAATCTGTAAGGGCAAAATAACAAAAAGGAAATTAAGGGGAAGTCGGGGAGAAAGGGACAAGTGAAGAGGGGTAGATTGCAATAAAAGATGCAGCAGGGCTGATTATTGTTATGGTGCCACCAATGTGGACTGAAGCCTCTCGTGCTGCCAGGCAAATGTAGTATTAGTCACTTCAATAATTAATCACCCTGGGAGCATGTCGTTGCAGTCATGCACTGACCCATTTCTCTAACATTTTTCTCAACAGTAACATGCCCACAGAGCCCCTCTTCTTACATACCTTTATTGAGTGAGGTGGGGGTGCAGGCCCAAATCCTCTGGGTCAAGCCTGGTCATTTATTAGCCACATTTCTCAGGAGAAATAAAAGTAATCTCGCTGCTCTTCTCAAAGGCTGGAAACCATGCAGGGAGACAGAATAGCGGCCTCGGCTGTGGCCCAATGGGCCTTGCGGACTGTCTGTCCTGGTGAAATATGAAGCCCATATGTAGGACAGCCATCTGAAAGAGGGACCCAACAGGGCTCCTTCAGGCTTTGATGCTCATCACCACAAAAGCAGATGGCTGTGGCCTGGTCTTAAAACTTTTTTGCTACAGCCCCCCCCCCAATTTCTTTTATCCAATCCTATCCGGCCTATTAGCCCCCTGCCTGTCATGGTCTAGTAGCCTATGCTTAGCCCCCAGGGGGCTTCCAGGGCTATGGAATGAAGTCAAGCTTCCCCATTGACACAGGTCTCACTGGATAGCTTTGAATAGAAGTCAACCGAGTGAAAAGGCATGTTTTAGAGGACAAAATGGAATAAGGTGTGGGGTGGATCAATACTGCAGGATTGTTTGGACTTGAAATGCTTTGCTCTCTGTGTGCTCAGACAAAGCAGTGCTGACTGCAGGTGGCAAAGAATTTTTCCGGACATTGGGTAAAAAGTAACAAAGGGTGTTTAATGGAAGAGAAACCTGCATGCATCTGTCTGAAAGATTGTGATCAAAGCAGAGAGATAACCCGCTGTGTGCGCTCTATATGTATTCCTGCCCTCTTCACTAAAACAGGCAGTATTTGTCACCAAGGTCCAATGCCAACCTGTGTGCTGCTTGCACCCAAGCAATTTCTGAACCAGAAAGGCAATCAAGGACCGAAAGTCAGACACAATGCAAATAGGTCTGAGAGCCCATCTGTAGTAATCCAACAGTCCCTCCTGCACCAGTCTGCTCTCCGTCTCAGCCTCTCTGTGGCACAAGCCAATTAACTGCGTGATTCGGAGCCGGGGATGAACACCCTAATTGATTACATGGCGATAGTCAATTCAATTATCAATTAAGGCACAAAAAGCAGAGACGCAAAGCCCGGAAGTTTGCAGAATGAGTTCTTCGGTAACTTGGCAGCACAATCGCTGGGTATGTTTGTTTAAGCGCAGGAATGAAAAGTAAAGGAGGAAGGCACAGAAGCAGTGGAAGAGAGCTAGGAAGACTGACACTTGCTGTAGCTACTGCAGGTTGTTTACTTGCAGTCTCTGACTTACACCTCTCCTCTGCTTCTTCTTTCTCCTCAACACAGACATTCTCTGCTGCCTGAAGCACACAAAGAAACACACACAGACAGAGAGACAGAAGGGCACACACACACACACACACACACACACACACACACACACGCACACAAACACAAGTATTTGCATTATTACAAACACAGAAATATATTATATGGTATTGCTATGGATACTTTGCATATAGGTACATTATATACATACAGTCACATACATACAGTATTAACATACATAACATAATTTAAAAAAAGAGAGAAACACACTTAGAAATTTCCACTTGCACACACTCATAGGTGCACATGTTCAGACAAAACCACATGGGAACTCAGGGATTTACAGCAATTGAATCACATGAAAAAAACCCTTCTTTCCCTCATCATGCCTGTGATTCTGCTTTGTTTACTCTGTCATGGAGAGTTGCTCTGTTCGATCAGGCTGGAGAGGCACTAGGTTGGATGGTTGTGCTAACGAAGTCTCAATGTGCCGTCTGTCGACAGGGTAATTTCCCAGGATAGCTCTGTGTTCTCACTTCTCAGGGATCTGCTGGTAAAGATAGAAGGAGATCAGCACCTGAGTCACTGGGGAGGAGAAACCAAATGGGTGTAGATTTTTACCTCTATCCACTGTTCTCCTTCAAGGTCTCAGCATTCACTAGCCTGTACACCTTTTTTTTTTTGTGGACCTGTGCCCACTGTTCAGACATTAATGTGGACATCCTGGCGTGCTCTTGCCATTATGGGAGCTGCCGTTTCATTCCGACACTGTAGCTGGTGCTGTAGACAAATATACAACAAGCATATCAGAAAACCACACTGTAAGTATGACCTAAACAGGTAGACCCATGCATTTCTTTTTGTTTACATGGTCAACAATGACAAAAAACTAAACTTAACTAAAGATATGGGATTATTCCAGATTAGACAGAGTTTATCAATGCCAAGTCTCTTATGCAGCTGGTTGATATTTGAAAAATGTGAATTTAATAATTATATTCTATAACTAACGTGGGTGGTTTTGGGCAATACAATGAGATGCAAGAGATACGTTGCTATTGAAAGTGGGAAGGGTCTCTTTAGGATTGTGTAGAGACAATTAAATTAAATAATCAAGCTTGAGTGCCCTTTAGAGAGTCCTCATAACAAAAAGAAAAGCATGTGGTGGTGCATGAGGAAGAACAAAAACACCGTATTTCCATAGAGGACTGCAAGCCAAGGAGCTGCAAACAGCTAGCTAGAACAACTGCAGACCATGATGTTTATGATTTTGAGAGGCACGCACAGGCTACAATGATGTCATTTGGATGCTCACACTGATGTGCACTCGGACATCAACCACTACATGAGGCATACAGTGGCCCTCACTTCCCTCTGCCCACTGTATTGTGCTGGCTGAGAAAAAACATCTTTCTGTCATTATAGACCCCTGTCAGGCACTGATGACTGTTCACACAATGACAAATAAGTTACACTCTTTTTCCATTAACAGGGTCCAGGAACAATGTGCTGCTCTAGCTGTGCAGGATGGAGACAAGGAGGTGGTAGAGAAAGAATGCACAGACTGTCGGGTAGTGATGGGGAAGGTCTGTGTTGAACAATTATTTTAAAAGTTGTTGGAGACAAAAAGTGTGCCATGGGGGCCTCTCCATCAATCTGTCAGGGTCCTCCCTTGCCCAGCATGCACTTCTAAGGATGCTGCGTATCTCTGAATATGAGGTTGCGCAGCAGGGGGTTGCACGGATATAAGGCACTGCAAGTGGTCCTCCCAGATGGTTGTGTCCCACTGCTGGTAGGAGGTCTGCAGCCTTTATCTATGACAGGCAGTAGGTCTTAACATCCTCCACACACACTGCCCTGCTCCAAGCCTGCGGCCCACAGGGCTGGAGTTATGAGAGAGACAGGGTGTCCCAGCGCAGGAACAATTCCCTGCTTCCCCTTGGTCTTTTTTTTACTAGAGAAAGAAAAGACCTCAATGACAGCCACTGCTCAGAAACGCAGGGGACTGAGGATACTCACTCTGTTCTTTGGCAAGGACTATGTTGCCTAACTGCCACACACACACACACACACACACACACACACACACACACACAAATGCCTGAACCCACTTTGACACGCACAAATGCCCCAGCATGGCTTCTTCCTCCTCTGAGGGTTGACGCTGGTCCAGAGCATCAGCATTGTTGGAGAGGCTTAGTGAGGGAGAGAAGGAAAGTCTACAAGAGGAAGAGCAAGGAAAGCTGTATAGGAGAAATGGTGAGACAGACACAGAGAAGCCAGGAGATACTGGGCCACAATGCTTTCCTAATCGACATGCTGCCAACTTGCAAATCCAGCATTCTCATCTGGTCTACGCAAGGTCAACTGTGAGATGTACTGAAACAAAGCGAGATAGACAGAGGAAGGGAAATGGGGAAGGACTGGGTGGGTAAATGGTGCAGTGAGTAACTGTTGTTAATAGAGAGAGGTGACAGAATCTAGATTTAGGACAGCATGTCTGCTACTACATAAGGTGAATTTTAAGAGTTGTCCGCTTCAGTGTCCTCCACAGTGCCACCTTGTTACCGCTCAAATCTCCAGGAAGTCATTTTTCAGAGAGACCAGTGTGTGTGTGTGTGTGTGTGTGTGTGTGTGTGTGTGTGTGTGTGTGTGTGTGTGTCATAGCGGAAAGGGGTTATTCTTTTATCCTTTGACCCAGATTTGAGGGAGGACTGAACAAGGGACATGAAAGACACGGACCTCCCAGCAGAGCCAGGGTCACGTGCAAACCTGAACACAGGCACACACCGGCACAGCCAGCCGAGCAGAAAACACTATTATGCATACACAGTCCATGCAGACACATGCTCACAAAAATGCATGTATGCACACTCACCTTCAAAAACATTCATATGATCAAGATCCCACAGAACAGGGCATCTTGCATGAAAATTCTGTCAAACACACCTGCCACAGCTCCCCCGACAAGCCTTTTCCTCCCCCCCTCTCTATGCACATGCACACAGCATATTAGTTCTAATGAGGGAACATGCAATCACAATGTGTAATCACTGATTATTACTGGCAAAGCAACTCCTCTCTAACACATGAATATTCACATTTCCATGGAACTACTGGATTTATCTACGCCTGTGCATTACTGTGTACATACTGACGGTTGTAGCTCTGCATCCATGACATGTTTGTAAGAACACACCGACAACTGTGAATGAGTTTAGCTGTAAACATGGAAAAAGGTGAAGGAGAGTGATTCGTCATACAGCCTGCAACAGCCTGCAATTAAGTTGGCGTGGGTGATATGAAATGGGTCACACAATAGGACAGAGGTGAGTATGTCTAAGGCAGTCTTTCCTGTGGCTTTTCAACGCAAGAATAGAAGAGAGAGAGGAACTGATGCAACAGTGACACAAAAAGACGTAAATCTACATTATTAGATAGATAGATAGATAGATAGATAGATAGATAGATAGATAGATAGACAGACAGACAGACAGACAGACAGACAGACAGACAGACAGACAGATAGATAGATAGATAGATAGATAGATAGATAGATATACTTTATTGATCCCAAGCTTAGAGCGGACAAGATGTGTGTGACTATGTATGTTTGCTTGTTGATACCCCAAGGAATGAAAAAATAGTGAATACTGTGTGCAAACAGATTTAGTGCAGGAGCAAAATGGACATACTTACAGTGGGGAAATGGGCAAATTTACAGGCAGAAACCTGGATGCACCAGAGCCACAATATTGGGCTTCCGCCAGTGTTAAATATGGTTCCTCACCTACAACCAGATGGTTCCTCACTTCT